AAAAAAAAAAAAAAAAAAAGGCATCATTGCAATGTGCACAGTCTCTTTCACCAAACTATAGTTGCTCTATATACATGTACTTCTCCTTTGCTAACATAGTATTATCTTTAGGGAACCCCACTTTCTACAATTCTCACTAGTGGATGTTTTTCTTGATTTAAATGTATGTTAATTTAGCAGTATATAATTAACTGTGTGTAGTTTTCTTTAGTTATGGGTATATTTATTAAAGTTTGTTTAATTGATTAATCAGCTGACAGAGTTGGAAAGCTAATGAATGTACTTCAGATTTTAATTTATAATTTTACTCTACTGTAGCTCTTGCAGATATATTGTATTTTTTCCTCACTATGTTTATGTGCAATTACATATTTCTTGTAATAAAAAAATTCACAAGTGTTCCATGAGCTTGTAAAATGTAAAAGACTTCTACAACTTGAACTTTTAATACAATTTGTAAGTACATCTTAACACATGGAGTAGGCTACTTAATTTACTGGAGTCCTTTATATGTAGCACTTTTACTTTTGATACTTCAGAACAATTTTTGTTGCTTTGAGCAGGCCTATTTTTATGTTGAAACTTTTACATAGCTACTTAATTTACATTTTACATGATTAAATGACTTTTGATAATATTTTGTTACAACTTTTATGGTTATTAAACAACAGAGCTGAAATTCTGTCATAAAATATATGAATTTGTTGGAAATTAACATTGATAATTAATAAAAACGTAAATATCCCAAACTCATTGGTTTCCTCAAATGTGAATATTTTCTGTTTTTTTTAATTTTCTATGGTAATAAACTCAGTGTTTTGCTGCCTAAACAAAACGAGCAATATAAGCAATATGTGAACTTGAACAACTTTTTTTCACTATTTCCTGGCATTTTATAAACCAAACAATGACAGCGACCTGGCTGCAGGTACTCTTGGAATTAATTGGAAAAACGATCTGCAGATTAATCGATAATAAAAAAAAATGCATCACTAGTTGCAGCCCTATTACAACTCATTGTACAGCAGGTGGCAAAGTACCAAAATAAAATAATTAGTGAACAGCTGTAACAAAACGGCCACTTTTCTACATTACCTCATGTGTTCCAGGAAGTGAAAAACAGTGGGTCCCCTGGAAGGGTTAAAGGGGCCTCGGTAAGTCCCTAGGCCCGATTTTGGCAACTAGCGGCACAGATGAAATAGCGCAGAGTTCATCGAGGTCATGTAGAAAGAGCTTCTACGGAGTCACTGTAGGAGTTTTTCAATTAAACGGCTGCGTTCCTACTGAATCAGAAGAGGTCGGCGTTAGGACCCGGGAGAGCGAGCTGCCACAGAGGCATTGCAGACAACGCGTTGGGAGGTGAAGTGGAAGAAAGGCAAGAGAAACGGAGTAAATGAGAGCATTTTGTCCAGATTGGTGAGGGACTTGACGTAACACACCGCCGAAACAGCTCACTATAATGAGACGGACACGTTGTTGAGTTCCTCTCCAGGTAAATGTCCGCGTTTCCTTCGCATGGTTAACTACAAGAGGTCGACAGCTAGACAGGGTAGGTCCCCATTGTACTTACATGGGATGCGGTTATTCTCACCCAAGTTGCCCTGCTAGGCCCCATATCCTTTATGTCGCTAAATGCAAACCTGAAATGAGGTACTTTCCTGACCTCACTTCGTCGTAGAAGTTGCTTATTATAAATGGCAAGGACTTATAAACGTCCAGCAGTGAATTATAACCCGTTGTTGTTTTTCCACAAACAACTGTTAGCCTCTTTGTATTTGTTAACCATTCATTTTTGACAGTAACCACAATGGCCAAAATATCTACAGTCATGTTACTTTAAACGCTTTTCCAGTCTGCAAGAGTTTTTTTTTCTTCTTGTACTTAGTCACACAGGAGGCAAATGAAATCAAATGAGCTCAACAAGAGAGCAGCTCGTCCGTGGTAATGAGCTGTCACTGCGTTTGTTTACTTGTTTGAGTGAGAAATTTACTGGCACAGTAATTTCACGTTTAGTCACTAGATCTTCTAGCTTGTTGCTGCTTCTGTTGTCACACTGTTGCATTCACATAGTGATAGAAAGTTGTACATCTATGCTGTCATTTGTTCTCTAAAGGGTCCCAAGTCCTTCTGAGTTACAGTTTGGGCACCAGGGAGGTCATAGGAAATAAGCCATAATAGTGTTGCTTTATTATTGTTCTCTCTAGCAGTCAGTAGAATGAGGCAGTGCATGTGGGTGACTGTATTTGTGGTAGGTTTTACTGTTATCCCACCTGACAGTTATGCATGGTGTATACTAAATCACCTTAACTACAGGATTCATTTTGAAGGTTCTTATCAAAATAAATCAAAAATTGTAAAAAGTTTCACAGACATGAACAATTTAAAGCCAGATAAACCTCAGATTACTGATGTTACTGTCCGTCTGTGTCCATCTAAAACAGTCTGGAAGGAGAACATTGTCCTTTGGCATGCTTGTACCATTAACGCCTGTAGTGTCGAGATGTTTTTATTGTTCATGTGTGTACGCAGGGGAACTTGGCATGTGACCCGGGGAAGACGCAACAAGCTAGCAAAATGATGCAGCCAATGACTACTTGGCTCTCTCTGTTCTGTTTAGAAAATACCGGTCACCTCCTACCCAGTCCCCTCACAGCCCCGTGGATGCAAATGTGCCACCACTTGTATGCAGAATCTGATTAGTGTTGTTTGAAGTTTTGGCCCCTGTGTACAGGGAGACCTATTGTGCCTGTCCCCCCATGCCTGTGCCACAGGAGTTTTAGATTCATTATCATGGAGATGGACATGCTTCTGTTGATCATAGGCTGTCGTCACTGTCACATGATGGCACTCTTCTCGGTCTGTGTCACGAAACTGTGGATACTATTTGTTTCATTCACTGTGTTTGCTATGTGCCAAGTGATATCATTTGCAGCAAGGTAAAGAGACTAGGACTTTTTCTGTGTGGTGTCCTTTTTAAAAGACAGTGTTACAACTGATATGCAGTTCAATAAGTTCAGCCCTGTCATGCATTTCTAAGGGCTTGTCTGAGCAGCATGAAAACGAATACATTAACATGAGTCATTGAGGGGTTGCTGTTCATGCCATCACGCGATTGAAGGCTACTTTCCTTTCAGGGTTGTACTAGTTGGCTTTTTTTTAATTATTGGGCTACACCTACCCACAAAAGTTTTATCATTAGTGATATGTTTTCAGGGAACTTGAAAGAGGAACTTGACAGTGTGTGGCACATCACACAAGTACTGGTCCCATTGTGGCATTAGAGTGCATGTCAAATGTCATTTCAGGCACTGTTTTCCTGCAGCAGGTGAGTTTGTTTGATGTTCTCATTTCTCTTAATCATTTTGAATATTTTAGTGTGATGCGCCGTTTCTGTAACCATAAACCAGCTGCTGACAAAGTTGTTTACCCAAGTGTCAGCAGAAAATAGAGCAAAAACAGACCTGTATCTATTGATCTGTGATGAAGGAAGCAGTGTGGTGATGTCGGCCTGAATTTCTGCTTCCTGCCTTAAACGCATGCGACTGTCCTCTTTGGCACAGTGACAGCCTTGGTGTGTGTGGCATCCCTGCTGTATGACACTGATTTGCTTTGAATGGGGTGCCCCCTGTCTGAGGCGGAGCCAGAAAGATGAATGATTGAAAGCTGCACTGACAGCAGAGCAGGCAGATGGCGGCCCAGAGGCCTGAGGACCATGTGACCCGCTGTCAGGGTACTGGGTTCATTCAGTGGCTGCTGGCTGCAGCCCAGCTTTTCCGCACAGGCCGCAGTAGCAACAGGTCGCTCCTATTAAAACAGCAGTTCTCTGTTGTGGCTCCAGAGCTGGTCCTTGTGCATGCAGTGCTTTTTTGGCTGTGGTGTGTGTTTGTGCTCAAGTTTGTTTGTTTGTGATGTATCGCAGTGTGTATATGTTTGTGTGCCCGAGTGTTCACTAAGATGCCGAAGTGATCCAACGGTTTGTGTGATTTAGTTGAGTTGCACTGGGCGTGCTTTTTCAAATCCCCCTCCAAAAATCCTTCCAGCATTGACTGTGTGACACAAGCAACCTTAATGCAATAAACAAAAACACATGGCAAAAATAAATCCTGCTTTCATAAACTCACTTTCACTTATTTATGGACGGGAGCAGAACGACGTGGCGTGTGGATCACACATTAGCTGGTAGATGTATTTGAGCCTGAGGCTGTACTGATGTGACTCGTAGCCTGTCAATAGTCAGTCACTTCCTGTTGTTGTCCCCACCAATAAGCTGGATGGGGCCACTCAAACAGAGCTCTCTTTTGATGGCTTTACTCTGACGAAGCTGCAGGAGGCCAATTGATTTCAGTTGATGGTCTGAGATTGTCTAGTGCATCGTGTGACATTTTGTGTGAACAAGCATTGCAATTGATCTTTCCTTCTTGCTTCTGCCCTGCATTCAAAGCTGACTTTATATCATAAAGAAGTACTGAATAAATCAAAAGGTCAAGTGTTTTGGTTGTGATAGCCTGCAGGTTTTTTTTTTGTGTGTGCATGTGTGTGTGGCGTTGATGAATAAACAAGAAGCCTGTGATGGGATTTGTCCCCATTTGGTTTATGAAATGACTTAGCAGAGTTTTATACTGTTTTTTTTTTGCATTTTCACTTGAGGCAATACTGTTGCTGCAGATTGATCTCTTACCCATATTTAGTTTTTATGCTGCACTTTACTCATACATCTCTCTGAAGACCACTTCACACATCTAAGTGTGACAGCACTTGTATCCATGGCTGTTTTACATCATGTTCTTCAGCAGATTACATTTGCATAAAAAAGATTATGTGTAAGATCAAGATCAAAGTTTTATTGTCAATTCATTATACAGTATGTGCAGGACGTACTGAAAATTGAAATACCTTTTCTCTCTCACCTAGAATTGAATGCCATACCATTTAGGAAGCTAAAATAGAATAAAAGTAGAATAAAAATAGACTAAGAAAACCAAGAAAACTAAGTCAAAGTGATTGGGATAAAAACTAAACGGTACAACCTAATAGGCTATGACTCAAACCCTGTGCAATCAGTGATAGTAGTGCAAATAATAACAAGAAGATGGTTGTGAGATTGAGTTGCACATGGACAGTAGTGTTTTTTTTTTGTTTCCACAACAGTAAGCAGCAGATTTACCTGTAATATAACAAAAAGGGGGAATGTATTGAGTTTGTGCAAACAGCAGGGGTGGTCTTCCTATATCTTTTTATGCTCTGTGGTGGGTTCAGCATCCTCACAGCCTGGTGGATGAAGCTGTTTGTAAGTCTAGTGGAGTGGGCCTGAAGACGCCCATACCTTCTCTCTGAAGGCAGGAGTCTTGAAGATGTCTGGAAGGGAAGGCAGAGGGGCACCGATGATCTTACTGGCTGTTTTCACTATGCGTTGCAGGGTCCTTCTGCAACGCTGCAACGTTACAGGAGGTAGTACAGGCTCTGTACCACACAGTGATGCAGCCAGTGATGACGCTTTCAATGGTGCCCCGGTAGAAAGAGTGCATGATGGGTGGTGGGACACTAGCTCTCCTCTGTTTGCGGAGGAAATAGAGGAATGTTTGAACCTTCTTGGCCAGTGATGTGGTGTTGTTGGTCCAGGAGAGGTCCTCAGAGATGTGCACCCCCAGGAACTTGGTGCTGCTAACTCTCTCCACTACAGCACCGTCGATGGTCAGTGGTGGCTGCTTTAGAGGTTTTCTCCTGAAGTCCACAATGATCTCTTTAGTCTTCCCCACATTGAGGAAGAGGTTGTTGTCCTTACACCACTGGACCAGTTGGCACACCTCACTCCTGTAGTTGGCCTAATACAGTCGTGTCATCTGCAAACTTGACAATGTGTTTGGTTCTGTAGGTTGGCACACAGTCATAGGTCAGCAGTGTGAAGAGCAATGGGCTGAGCACGCACCCCTGTGGAGCCCCTGTGCTCAGCATGATGGTCTTGGAGATGTTACTGCCGACCCGCAGATTTTGTGGCCTCCCTGTTAAAAAGTTCCAGTTGCAGAGAGAGGTTTTGAGTCCCAAGTGTCCAAGTTTTTGTGTAAGCTGCTGGGGAATTATTGTTGAATGCTGAACTGAAGTCTAGGAACAGCATTCACATGTAAGAGTTTTTTGAATGTAGGTGGGTTAGGATTGGATGGAGAACAAAAGTAATAGCATCCTCTGTGGACCTGCTTGACCTGTATGCAAACTGAAATGGTCGTGAGAGGAAGGAAGGATGGACCTGGCCTTCTGCATGACCAGCTGCTGGAAGCACTTCATACTAATTGAAGTCAGTAATGTGATCATTTACCGTTGATCTCAAAGACCATTATTAGTTGTTCCTTGGGCTTTTGACCGTGTCACAAGATTTTTTATATTATAAGGTATAATATTTAATGTGTTTTTATTAATTATGTTTAAAATAAACATATACCTTGTTGAATATTGACAAACCAATTTACATATTTCAGGTCGAAGGTTAAAGAAAAATATTAATTTAGGAAGATTGTTCTTGGTGATGGATTTTTTTTTTTTTTTTTTTTTTTTTTTTTCCCCCCCAGCCTCACATACAGTAACTTTGGTTGATGAGCTAATGTGTTTGGGTGCTGAAGGATTCTCCATGTTTTTTTGTTTTCTGATAAAGGTTTAAAATGATCATTATTGTACAATATAGGGAGGTTAATAATCGCTTGTAAGTTTAAAGAAGGTCATTGGCTAGGCAGTGGAACACTAGATTGATCTTTTCAGAGCAAAGCGATTGGAAAATCATTTTGTTTTCAGAACTTAGTCTGACATCTAGTTCAACCAAAGATTTAGCCAAAACACACATCTGCAAGTGGGATATAGTAATCCCTGCCATCCCACTCAGAAATGCACATGCTAAGCACACGCATCCAACCTTGCCAGATTCCTTACTTCCTAACTCTGTCTCCTAAATAAGACAAAGAGTCCAGGAAATGAGATATAGATTAAAAAAAAAAAATCAACATCGATAAAGCTGAAAAATAAGATGTGTGTATATACATTCCAAAATATAGTTTTTGCCAAATCATAATGAACGCAAGTGTAAAATAAGTTTTAAATTCATCATTTTAAGTATCGTGTGCGAGAATTATTTGATGTCATGCAATTTACTGCTGTTTTGGTCATGGGAAAAAAAAAAAACCTCCAGTCTATCAGGGATGGTTGTGTGTCAACAGCATGGAATTTTCCAAATTGGGAAGCGTCATTGTGAATGCCAGAAACCATGGCCTTACACAGATATTTGAACCTTGTAATGTTGCAGGTTCCACATGTGAAAGAGGCAACATTGTGGTTTTAGTATATGCGTTGACTTGAGGGTTAATATTCAGAGGAGTGAAAACATCTTTCACCTCAATACGAAGATAATTTTTACTCTTCTTCAACTAATAGGTAAGCACCATTGAAAAGGCAGCTGTGAACCCAGGACCCCATCTACAGACTCCTGCACGAGGCTTAGTGAAGAAATCTCAGTAAACAAAGCTGCCTGTCCCTGTGGGAAACCTGGATCCTCCATCCTGCCCAACAACATGACCAATGTGGTGATCGTTAAGGAGGGATGGCTGCATAAAAGAGGTCAGTCTTTTTCTCTACAATCTATTTAATTGGATATAATAACTTTTGTAGAGTCTGGTATTTTTGCACTCGAAACATTGCTGTGCTTGAAACCAAGCTGGAATCAGAAAATTGCTGTATGCACCTAATTATTTAGATGCTATGGTGTCAAGATGAAGCACAGTCATCATCACATCATGCAGTAGAAACTGTGCAAGCTTGTGGCTTAACCAAGCTGGCACAGAAGATGAAGTATGCAGCAGAATATGTTCGGTATGCAAAGATTTCAAAGTCCTCTGTCAATGCTTCTCATAGAAATGTATTTATATTGCAAAGAAAATTGTACTCATTGCATGGCAGTTCCAGCCACTCTATAATTTGGGTGTAGACTGGAGTAGAGACTAATGATTCACATTTTTAAACTAATACTTCAACTATTTAATAAGTCAGCATTAATTTCATTCCTGAGGTATTTGGATTAGCAAGAATTTACTGTAGTACACAATTGACGCATTTGATTTCTAAATGCTGCAGAAATGCTTGATCCCAGTGACTGATCACCGGTTGTCTTTTAACTGGCAGTATGTCAGGTCTAATGTAAAGAGCCATCCAGTTGCAGAGGGCTTAGTGGGCCCCATTTAGCTGCTCTGACGATGTGGCATGGCGTGGCTCTGTGTCGGGCGTGAGTCTCGTTGTTTGGATGAAGAGGCATTCCTCACATACCTGCTGGCCTTGAACAGCTCTGTGTGCATGCTAACTCTGCTTTCCAGCTGCCTGCTGCCTCACAGAGCCCGCTCCACCAATGCCACCCGGGGATGCTATTACTCATTCATTAGCCACATTTCTGCTGTGTATAAGACAATCCAGCAAAGTGTTTAATCAAACAATCCTGGTTTTCCTACAGCTCTAAATATAAAGGAAAATTAATGTCACAAATTAGATTTGTTATGTGCCAGAGGAAATGAGAATAGGAATGTTCTTTCTTTGGAGGGGGATATGTAAAATTTGATTAGTTTGGCGTGACAGGCAAAGGTTAAGGCAAAGGTTTAGGCTGAAGTGTCACTCATTCAGGGTTTGTACATTTGTTTGCTCACTGTTATTCTGGTCTTTGTTCCTTTATCCAAGTATTATCTTTGCCACAAAACTGGCATAGGTCCATTTTCCCCACACCTTCAGCAGCCCTGATAAGAACAGGTGATTCTGAAAGACGGCCTGTGTAAAATGTAACTAGGTAGTCAAATAGTGACTTGGGGGGGAAAAAAAAACAGAGGGGTTGTACATGAGCACAGTACACACACACACACACACACACACACTGTTCTAGCAGTGACACCCTTCTAGTTGTGACAAACGCACACTAACCAAACAACCCTTCAGGAATAGTGAGCTGGCATGCTGTTGCAGCCCAGCAGCTGTGCCCTGTGAAATGTCACCCAAAGCTTCTGTGTTTTGATCAGAGGGCGTCCGCCTGCCTCCTTGACAGGAAGGCTCTTAGTGTCACGTCACTGTCATGCAGTCTTTGCCCTAGAGCCACTACACAGAAGGCGGACCTGCAGTAGCCCTGTCGTGCTGTCCATCACCTCAGCTAGGCAATCCCCACTCAACCACTATCATCCCAGGTTGCGCCTTGAGTGGAGTTTTTTTTGTTTTGTTTTGTTTTGTTTTGTGGCGCCACCCAAGTGACTCATAGCACCATGTGGGCATAATAATAAATGGCTTCCAAGTGTGTTCAGCATGCTCATTACTCCCATGTGTGCATTCAAAACACTAATTTAATGTTTTGCAAAAGATAGTCCCCCATATTTACATCAACATTTTGTGTGTGTTCCATGTATATGGGCTAGCATCAAACTGACTTCACAGAAAAAAAAAATACAGTTAAAATGTGGGTTTGTCTTGCAATAATGGCCATGTAATGTTTCTGCATAATGAATGGATTTGTGGCGGGTCAGTCACAGATCAGAAGCTGTGGTTTTCAGCTGAGCACACCCATGTCACCCACTCCAAGTGTTTGACTCTTGTCTAACTGGTCATGTTCAGTATGCACACGTAATCTCTGCAGAGGCCTCTGAAAGAAAGTGGAGCAAACCTTGTACCTGGGTATTCTGTAATCTGCTGTAACAGCTGCAGATTCTCAGCCTGGACAGAGTGCTCTGTACATTTGTTCCAGACAGGCTGTGCTGTGTGAAATGATCTCACTCTGAAGGACACACCTTCATACTTTCTCCTTAAGCCCTGTGCTGCAGTAATGTGTTGGGATTGTGGACACTGCCAGGGATGTGTTGTTGTGACTGTTATCTGTTTTGGAAGGACGGTTTTGGAATGCAAGGCAAAGCATCCCAGTAGGACGGAGGAATGTGTGCATGTCTGTGTGTACATCTGGACATGGATATGCAAAAGTGTGAGTGTATGGACAGTGTGAAAAATATTTATTCAGCAGTTACTCTGCCAGCAGGACATTATCCTGTGTCCTTATAGACTACGTTGCAAGTACAGGCTTGTAAAAACTTTTTTACTATCATAACAACCTGTTATGTGTCCCCAAAATAATACATCCCTATGTCCTACATAAAGTGCACTCACACACTGTGAATATGCTTGTGGCCACAGAGACCAAGCAGCGTGTCATTTCTTTTTGCAAGTGTGTTTTTCCGAAGTTTCCATCAAAGCCAGAGCATCATCAGACATCAAAGAGGCAGATTGTGGCTTCCCTAGTTTCCAGGGAAGCGCTGCGGCCAAGAACCTAGTGAAGCTCGACAGAACAGCGCTCGCTTGTCCTCCCCTCTTTCCTTGCCCTTGTTTGTTTGCTCCCTGACAAGTATAAAGAGCCAGCCCCCTTGTTAGGCTAACGAAGGCCACAACAACTGTTGGGTAGGGGTAGCACACTCAGCTGGCTCTGACTCATGAGAAGAGGGGTGGGTGAGAAAGGGAGGGAAGGCAGTGAACACACCAGTAGAGATAGCGAGTGAACAATAAAAGGGCAGGCAGAGAGGGACTGAAGTTGAGCAGCATCTTTGTCATGTTCCGAGAACATTGCTCAGTGACCCAGACAGCCTCAGCAGAGTGGATGGATGGTGTGTGTGTGTGTGTGTGTGTGTGTGTGTGTGTGAGAGAGAGAGAGAGAGAGAGAGAGAGAGAGAGAGAGAGATGTGCTGCATGGCCTCTCCCGTGGTTCAGTTGGGAGCTCATCAGCTGATTGGCTCTTTTGCTGCTCATGCGGCTAAAGGACACTCATGAGCTGCTCCTCCAAGTGAGACCTTGTTGACGGTCCAGGAAAGTGCATGAGACATGAGTGGGAATGAGAGAGGGTAAAAAGGAGTAGAAAAGCATGTTCTGGCTTTGTAAAACACCAGACACAGTAGTCAGGCTTTTTTTTTTTTTTTTTTTTTTTTTTTTCATCTTTTGAGTACGGTAGCTATGCTTCATACATCTGGTGAACAGGCCTCCAACACAGGCTCTGCTTACTGCTCTTAAAAGTAGCAGACCCACCTGATTAGGACTGTCTCACGGTGCTACAGTGCTGACTTTCAGCACTTTGACATGTTGCCAGCTTTGCTGCTGGGCTCGCCCAGCCCCTACACATCCCCGCATTATGGCTGTCTTGGGCCACACTACAGCTGCAACACAAATGCGCGCGCGCACACACACACACACACACACACACACACACACACACACACACCATATTGCAGAACTAGAACAATGGCTCATCCAGTTCGCTGATATTATTTCCTATGCTTTAAGGCATTTTACCAACATGCTATAAGTCCAGTTACCAAAAAAGCCTTTAAATGAATCCCAAAATGTTTCACTTTATCTTGAAGCTGCCTTCATCAGTCTGAGGTGATTCAGACATGGGTCACTTTTTCATGAATGTTACTCACGGCTGAAGACATACTCACGGTTGATGGAGAGAGCTACAGTACACACATGATAATTGCCATGCGCGCAAGATTGGAGAGCATAAAGTGATGTGAGGCCAGAGTTTCCTTACAACAGCATGGCAAATGAACATGAGTGTGTTCTCTGAGAATTTTTTTATTACTTTATTGTTGCTTAGGGCCTTTTCCAAAAGTGAGCTGAGCACCTTAAGAGAACTGTTGCAAATGGCAGGCCCACTACTTATCAACAGCCTACCTCAGTCAGTATGTCGTAATCTTGCGCATGCCTGTCCATTAGGGATGGGACGATATTTCTTCTCATTATGATTTGATGCACGATAGGGTGTGAGTATAATTCAAATCAATCATGACACAATTAAAAATTGGGTGACAACAATGTATGATTAGCTGTGGAATACTTGCACTTTATTCCTTGTTCCCCTCTCCTCCTTCTCTAGCACTGATTTGATTATGTAAAGAACCACCAGATATATTGACTTGCAGTCTGTTGGGCTATTTACAAAAAAATCAAGTTGCTGGTCTATGGAGACCACATGATGTATGTATATCACTAGAGAAAACTATACATATTGTGACTTTTTTGTACCATGAATATTGAATTTCGATATATTGTCCAATCCCTACTCTCCATTAATGTGGTTGCATGCAGTTCAAACTTGTGCCATGTTGGAAGTGATAAGTAAATGCTACCTGGTCCATTCCGGTCTGGTCCAGTCCAGTAAGATTGCCATCACGACTTTTACGTAAAGGCGACTGGGGTCTCGTTCAGACATGATGCCCACACATGCAGATACTGTCAGATTAACACACTGGAGTGCATGGCTGAAAGGGGCTTTTAAACAAAGTTGCACAGTGTTTTACTAGATGAATTTTAGCAGTGTGATTACCATAAATACAGTAGGTAGAATTAACCCTACTTTTATCTCTACATTTTACAATCTATTGATGGACATTAGCTATTTAATGGCTAAGTATTGATTGATTTATTTAATAATAACAATAATCTTAATCATTATTTTAAAAAGAGATGATCGGGTAAAGGCATGTAAAGATTTAATTCAGTCTTGCATCCAAATTTGTGGAGTGGAAATGTCAAAGCTCGAGATTCTCTAGAAAATG